TGTTTCTTCTTAGTTTTTTCTTATCAGTTTTGTATATTAGGGTTGTGTGTTACACCTAATGTTGTTAAATGAATGTTTATTGCATTATTTCAGTCTCATGTGTGTCACCGTGATGGTGTTTAGTGTTTGTGTGAATGACGCTGTGTTGTTTGAAATCAAAACAGATTTCAGTACTTCAATAGTTTGGTATATTAACATTATATCAGTCAATGAAATTACGGTATTTAACTGTAAATTTAAGTTAAAACCGTAAAACCTAAAATGTTGCTACCGTATTTTTTACTGTAAAATTCCGGCAACCACAGCTGCCGTTTTTTACCGTAGATTTTACGGAATGTTTTTACAGTGTATATTAGCAACTCTAGACAAAGCTCTACATCACTCAGTTTAACTTCAAATACAAATGTATTGAACTTGAATCCAGTATTTTAGCTTTATATAACTTTATTATATCATAACTTTAATATGTTATGATATATTCAGTGTTATCTTTGAGATGCCATCGTAGTTTTTAGAAATACTTTGAACAGTTTTTTTTTTACATTTTCAATTTTCATTTTAAATTTAGTTAAAGTTTAAGTAATTTTATATTGTGTGTTTGCCATTTTTATTAGTTTTTTTTTATATGTACAGTTTTTTTATTATTCATGTTTAGTTTCAGTTATTTCATTATTAACATTCAGTTCTTGTTATTTTAGTACATCATTCAACTAAATGAAAAGGAAAAATGTTGCCTCACATTTTATTCAGTTAATCTTTATTTTTGTTTCAATTAACTAAAATGCATTTGTACGGTTTTATCATTATAACCCTGGTTATATTAAATTATATTATGTTTGATGAAAGCCCAGACCAACTTTAATTATTAAATTGATACAACAATTTTTAAATATACGTCGATTATATTCAAAAAAGTCCTAAAACTGTTTACAGTGTATAGACAATTTAGTGTCTCAAATCAATCAATCAATCAATCTCAGTGTCTCACAGGGACTGTACATACTGCATATAGTGACTGGTGTTTTGTGTATGATACTGTACTGCACACAGTAATGTATAGTGCACACTGAATGACAGCAGAATGACAGCAGATGAGCACTCGTTTGGTCCACTAGAGGTCTCTGTGTGCTCAGCGGCTGTGAGTGTGTGTTCTACAACGCCGCTCTGTTCTTCAGCTCATGCACGCTCACCTGACCACAGTTTGTTGCTCTTAATTGAAGTAACACAGTACCTGACTTCACTCTCTCGTATGTGTCCTTCCAGCTCCTCCACAAACTTATCTCCCTTCATCCAGTAGATGATGGGCCGGGAATCTCCGCTGTAGCCGAAGAAAGCCCTGCAGTCCAGGACCAGACGCATGCCTGACCAACACAAGCACAACAGACAGCCGTCAGCGTTAGACAGAAATAATGCTCACTTCATCACTCATACACGAGAGCACATGTCCTGCCATGACCTGGAGCCTTCACACACACACACACACACACACACACACAAGCACTGTAAAGAGTGTGTGAAGGGAAACACACAGGACTCAAAGGTCAAAGAAAGACGCGCTCTCTCTCTCACAGCATCTCCGCCGAGCATCAGCAGCACAGTACAGCAACACAACAAACTACTGGCTTACAGTCCATTCACAGCTCACAAACTGTTCTCCCTGCATTAACAGTTCATGAGCAAATAGAGAGTCCTTTATGCACCGTCATGCTAGTTAACAAACTACAGCATAAAGCATTACATAATGTTTTATTATCCTTTCTTAACTACTTGCCAACCATTCCTAACAGATGTACAGTATTTAAACCAGTAGTAAAGGAGTTGTTAATGGCTATCAGAAGTAAATAGATCTCACTTTAGATTAGGTCACAAGAAATGCTAAATTAGAGCCAATAACCTATAGCTTTATTAAACATTAATATATAGTAATTAGCTTTAATATATACAAATTATTGTTATTCTTGTTCTTATTACTGTATATGATGTATCGCTTTGCATTTGTGCAACAGTTTGTAAATTACAGTGACAATGAATAAAGTACTCAATATTTGTACATGACATATTCATGTATTAACAACTTAGAGACTACAGTTTATAAGCTATGAATTACTTACGCATTCATTTATAAGTATTTTATTACTATATATTATTATGCTATCCAAAAATATTTTAAAAATATTAAATATTTATATTGTGCCTTTCAAAAACCCAAGGACACTTTACATAATATTCACATAATGAATGTTTTACTTTAAATGTCAAGTGGAGCAATCTTTATGTAAAAGCATTGCCTTCACACATCATAATGATTATTCTCAGACACCTGAAGAGCAGTGACCACACACACACACTCACACACACACTCACACTCACACACACACACACACACACACACACACACACACACACACACA